ACAACCACAACCACAACCACAACCACAACCACAACCACAACCACAACCACAACCACAACCACAACCACCCCGACCGCGACCGCGACCGCGACCACGACCACGACCACGACCACGACCACAACAACCGCAACAACAACCACAACAACAACAACCACAACAAAGTAATACTTCGGAGAAGTACTATAAATCCAAGGCAACAACGAAGCCATGGATTTACGTAATAATTCCATGAAATTCCAATCACCATTGATTTAACAAGTTTAATTGGTTTTACATGTTTTACCGAACAACCCATGTTTTACCAAGGATATTGGACGACAAAATCCAGCAACAAAACATTATGTTTTCAATTTTTAGAATGGAAGGCTACGGGACAGGCAAAACGGCACACCTGGGAGAAATGTCGGGTGGTGTGCTTTGGTTTCGCCAGAGCGTGGGGTGAATCACCAGTTGCCGATGAAAAACACTCCATGTGAGTGGTCCATCCAAACTTAAGAGATTGGGCGTAATCTAAGCAGCTGAACAAATAACCTTATATATGTATATATGCATTCCATGGTGGGTTCGGAGGAAAAAGACCGAAAGAAAAAGAAAGATTGAAAAAGATACTAAGAAGAAGAAGAAGAAGAAGAAAAAAAAACGGACACGCCCCCTGCGGCCGGGCGTTCTGAATCGCCCCGAGGCCAGGACATGAATCGTGGTATGTTCATCTTTGTGTTTGTGAAATCCTTCTTTCAAACTTGTTATCATGACGCTCAAATCCACGACTGCGAGACAAAGACGTCATTCTTGCCACTCATGTGGGCGATCACAGGAGTTTGTTGCATGGAAGAGGAGTATCTGTGGGTATAAATGAGAATGGTTCAACGATCCCCACGCGTGGAAAATGAGAAGAAAAAAGAGAGGGCCGCTGATCGCCGATCAAAAGGAAGCTGATCGCAGAGGACTGACAAAGCAACCAGCCTCATGAGCCTAATGATCCTCATGTGAATTCTCCATTGACCCATTTAGGAACAAAGGCTCTGTCCTATTGGTGCACGTTTCTTCGCAGCTTGCCCCTTCCTCCCATCAAGCGGGAGAGACCTCATCCTCCACATCTCACCTCGCCCAGTTCTCCAACAGAGTCTCCTCCGTGGCCGAGCGGCGTGCAGCTCCTGACCGTGGCCCCAGTGCCTCGGGCCGTGGAGGTTGGCGGAGCTTGGCGCGGGCTTTCGGGCGCGTTTGCGGGACGGAAACGGGCCGTGGGGTGGTTGACCTGTCAATGTTGCCCTCTGAAAAAGAAGAAAGGAAGTCAAAACAATCATGATTCAATGCTGGAGATAATAGTATATAACCCATATTAACCCAAACAGGCTGGCTCAGAAGAAGGGAATTTGAAACCACACCGCCAGGTTTGGATCTTCACCATGCCCTTGTGGCTTCGGGGAACGGTGCGGATTGACCCTTCCCAAAAGAGACGAGGGCAACGGTGCGGATGCTTCATGTCGCATGCGTCTTGGGACCGAAGATCTCGGACACCCGGCAGGAGCAGAGGTGGAAGCAGAAGGAGCACGAGAAGCAATAACTGCTGGCCGCCTGGGAAATATAAAACATCTCGAGCAATTCATGGGCCCGAGGGGAGAGGTCGCTGGTATCTCCTTCCGGAAGTGCCTCATCATAGATCTATGCTATGCATAGGTATCATTATGCATCTATGTATATGTACATGTGTGTTTAAGTTCATAGAATAGTGACATCATGTCTATGACTGCTTCAAAGTACAGTAAGAGAACAACACAGAAGCAAAGACCAAGCATGCCCTGAAAGCGATCTTGCCCTATCTTGCCTGTCCTTAGTAGAACCAAAATGCATTTTTCCCCTTGGGGTCGCAGCAGCGAACTGCAGAGATGGTCATAGGCACCGAACAGCCTTTGATGGTCGCTTCGACTCACTCCGAGCACCTCACCACCAAGAGCAAAAGCCAACTGCACGCCTCGCAAGACGGCAGACGGGCCGCCAACGCACGACTCGGTGCGGCGGCTGAAAAGAAGCCAGCACTAGCTAGTAAGTATATGATTCATCTATGCTGTGTTTTCAGATGTATCTTGGATTGGGACACATAGCTCCTGGGAGGGGGTGGCTTTGAACAATCAAACGATCTTCAGTAGTTGGATTGGGAATATATCTTAGGAAGGGTCAATCAGAGAGTGACCTTTTAAAGGTTGGGGCCCGACCTTAGCAAGTGCCCAGTACTTTCCCTCGGCATGAAAGGTGCCAAAGGTGCCCCTTCCTTTCTTCCTGGCCCGACCCATAATGTTCGAAAGCTGCAAGTCTTCCCACTGGAAGAAGGTGAGGTGGGGGTAGCCCTTCGGGAGATATTCCTATATGACCTATATCTGGCCAATAACATCCCCACCAAGTTATGTTTGTTGTTCCAGTTGAGGGTAAGCTATGAAGAAAAGTATCAGCCACCACACCAAATCACATATGTCGCCCCGCCCGTGGCTCCTGGCTTTTTGTCCTGCCCATATGCTGACTGCTGAGTCTATGGAATAGACTTTTGGAAGTCTAGGATCAGAAAGGGCTGGACTTGTCAAAAAAGGCAAGGCTTTCTTCCCCACTTCTATTTTCAAACATATATATTATATATATGGTTATTTACTCATTTTGGCCCTTGCCTTGCTGGTCAGTGACATGTGTGGAAACAACTCATGAATCTTGTGATCCTGGGACACCTGATGGGTGCCTCACTTTGCTGCAGAAACAGCCGGACGTGCCCGGACGACACGTGCCCGGACGTGCCGCGGCGCACGTGTGCGGGGGCGGCGCAGCGCATCACTAACGGCGATGGCGGACACTTTGGTCGGCGATGGCGTCTTTGGTTGGCGCGAGTCCCGCGGTTTTACGCCGGGTGCTCGGCGATGGAGAAGCTGGATGGAAAAATTCATCTACAGTAACTCAAGAAATATCCAACAAAAAAGTCATTCATCTGTAATTCAATCTGGATGGATGGAACATCATCTGAACCAAGATCCGAACTGAGCTGGGAGCAGTTGAATTCTTACATCAGGACCAGCTTTTAGGGGTTTTTATAAGGGATGCCGCTCATCGGGGTAACCGGAGACCGTGGCGGCGCAGAAAGCCCCGGGCCTTTGGTGTGGGTCTCACTGGTGTTAAACTCAAGCCTAGTGGCTGCAGGAGACAGCAGGATACCACGAGACTGTTACAAAATCCAGACCCTGGAGTTATAACTGGTTGGGGCTGATTCATCTGACCCCGAGTACGCTCAGTAAAAATCGGAAAAGGCACAGCTCGCATGCGCGTTTCGCTCCTCTGCTTCTCCCTCACCAATTCCCCTCTGCGGACTTACGCCTCAGAGAGCCTTGACAAAGCTGAAGCGGAAGACATTTGAATAGGGACTCCTCCCAATTCGAACCCCTGGAAGGGGGAAAAGCGACCCATCGACCCCAATTCTTTTGAGACCAACCAACCCATCGGTGACAATGCTGCCTCAAAATCGAACGAGAAAGGAAGCAAGAACCGAGAAAGACATCGCCCCCAAGGGAGCGTTGTTTTCGAACTTGCATCCTTGTTTCATGGGGTACCCCCGTCCCAAAACCAACAGGGGGTTCCCACCAAACGAGTTCACACGGCTTCGAAGATGAAAACAGAGTCAATTCCTTCCATCGCCTTTGGGAAGACTTTGGTGGTTATCGCTATTCGGCCACAAGCTCTCTCCGGAGGAAGACGTCTTTGACACGTTTCAGGTATCGAAATGTCGGCTCATGTCATGTGGCGCTAAACCGGCCGGGGTCGCCGTTAAGCCCTCAACAGACACGAAACGTCGAAACGCCTCCGCGGTGAAGACTTGAGCAACATTTGAGCGTTGTGGCCATTGAAATCGAGCTTGACCTCCCTGCCGTTATTGGGAGAATCCAAACTACTGGGCGCAAGAGGGGTCAGAGTCCAGAACAATGCACAACACGAAACTGTCGGAAATGAGCACTTCGGAACATGAACAACCAAGCTACCTACCAGCCACCCAACCGACCAAACGGGGACATGAGCAATGAGCAGCTGGTAATTCTTGGTTGACGCCTCCACACAGCCGCTGATCGGACGCTAAACGGTTCCACCAAACCGGACGATCTCTACATGTCTCTACTGTTGGAAGAAAGCTGAACCAAAGCAAGTTCACCTCCCGTTTCCTCTGGATCTACGCCATAGGCCCCAAAGGCCCCATCACAAGAAGTAGCTGACCTTCCTGAATCAGCAGTACCAGCATGTGCTGAAAATAATTGAAAATATCATGTTCTTTGAGCCACTCTGCAGAACCCAAAAAGTGTCCTTTTCTCCCTCTCCCGGTTGCTCCGAAGACCTCTCGGAGGTCTACCAGGTCTACTAGACCCAAGTCGGTGTCGGACATTCCTAGATCACCACAAATCCGCCTTCCACCCGCCTCATGACAGCGGTCTCATCCCACTGGAGATGTGCAAAAGCAGAAAGCCTCGTTCCGCCGCTCAGACGTGACGAGGAGATCGGTTTCATCCGAAATGGGGACGTCGAAAGAGCGTGTGTTGTTTTGTGCGAATATTCTGGGATGAGCTGAAAGTGCTCTTGAGACAAGTGAGGTGCTGTCAAGCTACCGTCGAAAGTGGATCATGATGGTATTGTTCCGTTCGAAGAGAGTAGAACACTGGCTAAGCCGCTACATCACCCCTAACTTCCGTCGCTCGTGGTCTTTTGCAAAGAACCTGTTGCGGAAGCCCCGAGTCCATGCCACTCCAACTGGAGTAATGATTCCGAAAACAGCTGTGGGTGGAAGAGATGTCCTAAAGTCAACAACGACCGCATGGACACCAGTCAAGCACCGGAAGCTCCGTTCGTAGCGTCGAACGTAGCGTTTCAATGACTCAGAAGTTGAGTTTCGAGCTCCACTCCATCGAACATGGCCAAAAACGTAGACAGACCGGTTGAGAAAAACCAAGCCCCCGCCCCGTTTGGAATTGGACATCCTCTGAAAGGCTTGCGGGGGTTCTTCACGTAAAGAGTCTACATTTAAATCTGTTCTTTCAAGGGTGTCCAAATCCCAGCCCCCCAAACCAGCTAAACAGGACTGTTCCCTTCATGGAGGAAACACTCGTGAGGGTGCAAGTTGTTTTGCTTGCCACGAGTCCCCAATAGATCTCCCGTCATCTGGATCTCCAGTGCTTGAAAGTCTTGGGAAGAGAATGAGCGGAACGGCTAAGCCTGAAGACGCTGGACGAGACGCTGGCGAAATGGCTCAGCATCAGGAAGTGCACAATGTGGCCAATGGCGGCGATTCCTGCGTATCTCAGGTCAAAGCACATGGGTTGATCATTAAAAATGTTCACTGATGAATAACCCTCTGATAATGGATCTGTTTGATCATCGTTCTGAATCTGTTTGAAGGCGGGTTATTGACCAAGGTTGATATTCCACCCTTTGACTCCTAGTCATTCAGAGGTCCCATTCGTTTGACACGGCATTTGCGCAACAGAATTCCGATCATCCGCCACACGGAGCGTCGGAAGCAGGCTGCACTGCGTGGGTATCTCCAAGCCATAGAGCACTATGTTAAATCATGAGGACCAATACAAAACCCAAAAAGATTGGACATGAGGCACGGCCTATGTCACCCATGTGATCTAAGCATGCTCTTCATCGTGGACAGCATGATTTCAGTTCCCAGCTGCCACTAAGGAAACGAGGATTGAAAGGGCCCACTGAAGACACGTGATCCCTTCCTGTATGGAACTTTAATGCAAGTCAATACCAAACCTCCCCAAGACTTCTATGGCCACTCGCAGCCACAGAGTTTGAAGATGGTGCTTGTCTAGGAGGCTGTTGGATTAAGATGTACACATTTGTGTACAGTATATACCTTTAAGATCCTTTAGGAGTGTAGGATAGGGATCTTCTTCATTCTCTTCAACACGGGTTGCACACTGCACGGAAACACCGAAACACCGCAGAACGGCCTGCGAGGTGCCAAATCTTCCAGGAGGTGACCAAATCCTCAAAAACGTAGAAGCCTGAGATCTGGCTCCACCAGCATCTTGCTGCTTTCTGGGGTGTGTTGCTTTGCTTTTGCTGACCATGGGATCGCTTCATGAGCGGCTCAAGTCTGGGTTCATTCCTTTGGGTTCAAAAAGAGGTGACCCCCCTTGGCCCTGGCTAGGTAGACTGGTCGACCGTCGACATGTTCCTTTTTGATCGGAGTCTCATGTTTGGAGGGTCCACGCTCCACTCGTCACCGGTCGACCGGTGACCCGTCGCCGGCCCGAGCTGTGCGAAGGCCCCCCCCAGCCTTCAGTGGTTCAGTACGTTGGAGCAGTGCGCATCTGCATGATTGAAAACACAAAGACCGTTATTGAAAATGGTTGAGCTATGCTTAGCTGGTTTGGTTTTGTGTAAAAGTCCTTGGTCAAACAATGGTTCTTCGGTTTCAAGGCTGTTACAGTAAATCAATGGTGGATTGAAATCCAGGGTAGATGGACATGAAGTTCCAATTCCTCCTTCCCTCTCCTGCAAACCTGGTATTCCAAATTCTCCTGGCCAAGCAGAGACATTCCAGAGCAAAAACTAACATGAGAGCATCTCCGCTTCTCAGCGCCCCAATGGTCCAGTCAGCACGATATGGCCCCATATAGTCAGCCTCTTCCACAGTCCAAATTCGGTCTTGAATTTCAATCCACTGATCTCCCGCCAAAACCTTCGGCCAGTTGGCCCGAACAAACGGTCCTCACCTACCCAACACACGGTCCTCACCCGAATGCCACCGAAAGGCCCACCAAAAAGACCTCAGTGCTGAGGGGAAAACCCAACGAAAAGCAGCGTCTCAACGAAACGGCCCTGCTCTTTAAGGCATAGCTGGACATGGTGGACGCCACCCGGGTGAGGAAGGTTCATCAGAGCCTCCACCCAAAGAGCGACGAATCATGTGAATCATGTGATGTTGATGTTGAGTGA